GGTAAGTATCTCTACCTGTTTGTCGGCCGCCCGCCTAATGGTGATATTTCGATAACCTGAATTATATCTTCCTCTCATTTCAGGACTTCAACGGCCAAAAGAACGCTCCTTACGAAGAAGAAAATGCGCCTCACAGAAGGACATATGTTAACTTCAAAACAACCAATATATCTCAAAATTTCAAGACGTCCATTTTGAGCCTTTTCTCCGTCACCGATGGATGGATTAGTTAGGCATCGTGTACCCCTAGCCGCATGTTAGTGGTGCGCGTCGGTTAAGATCGTTCAGCTGTCTGGTATTATCGACGTAGGCTCTATGTGGCTAGTTAGTTAGGTATCGTGTACCCCTAGTCGCATGTTAGTGGTGTGCGCCGGTTAAGATCGGTGAACCCGGAGGACTTTCTAGCATAATTCGGAACCTGTAATGAAAAACTCTGTAATTTGCCAGTTAACGTGCACGATTTTTAGCAAATAATTGGCGTACACCACTGGCAACAAAGAATCATCGGCCAAAATTTGTTTGCACGAATGCGCCTGCACATAAGTTGCATCTCCAAAGGCCATTTAGATTCTAGAATGTTGAAGAAATCTGTTCCGGTGGAAAAATACCTGAAAGTTACGTTCATTGTATGTGAGTCCACCTTTTCCACAATTCGCGATTTTTTTCATCCGTTAAGGTATTCAAAGTCGGCGGTGTTTATTCACCTGGGGATTTAGTTCACTTAAATAAATCGCCATAGTAAAGGATTTTCAATAATACAGGAGCATATACATTATGCATAGACATTCTACACTATGAAGTGGCAAGTCTGAAATGCCGTAGATTTCGAGAAATCAATCTCATGGTGCGAATAGCCAGCGGCTTTACAAGTCGGTGATGATTGGTGAACTCGATCGTTTGCTCATTTAAACAAATTTATCACGGAGATAATTTTCAGACAATATCATTTTACAGAAACTGTCTTCACAATGAAATGGTGGCCTTGAACCTCCCGTAGCTTTTGAGAATTCGAATACCTTTCCCGTATAAGGAGCGGTATGTGACACCGGTTTTCTGGTACGGTCTTTTATAGGAAGGTGCAAATGGTATCTTTTACTCAATTAAGCATTTAGGAACTTGCAATGCCTTACCGAACTGCGAACCTTGAACGCCGACAAATTCAGGAACGAGCTCGGTACTCGAGGCATGCGTAAATTCGAAGCGTGTCAATTCGCGATGTAAGTACCTTATATTTCGACTTTATCATAGCAGTTAACTTCTCCTCGTTTCTTTCCAAATATCATCAGTGTGAACATTCGCTAATGCTAGAATCGGCGAAATTCATCACAGCATCACAGGACTGAAGGAGATTGCGACTTGGGCGTCGGTGTGAAGCACGCTCTAACGTTTGTGGTAAGTGTTTTTAATTCAACTCATCCGTGACACACATGTACAAGCCATACGCTTTAATAATCACAGATGGTATGGGTGACGACCGTCCGGTCATACGTGCATTGGCAGGTGAGAAGTTCCGCTTCGTACGAAATTACTGGGTGGGGGTGATCAGGAAAAATTCCGGGATCAAAAAGTTGTCGTCAGCCGTGCAATCGTTCGTGCTAACACTCATTTCTATACATCGGCTGAGACGGATTCCGACCATCGGTGCCCGTCGAAATCGCGTATGGAAGGCTGGTGGGCTCTTTCGGAGGACGCTGCTCACAAGTTTCATTGGGATAAATGCTAATGAGACTAAATTGTACTCACTTGGTTCAGGCTTTTCGTCAATTTCTCACAACCAGGCGGCCTAGGTTCCCACATAACCATATTCCAAGGCCCGTAAGACCGAGTCTGCTACATTGAAACCTCTGTCTGAAGCTTTCTAGAGAACCAGGTTATGATCAGTTATTGACGATGCTGCGAATATGGGTAGCCCGTTTGCACTGTCCAGTTGTTGGTCTGCTTGCCGAGGTTTGCAGTTGAATTGCGAATGATTTATCAACAACCGAGATGATTTTGTCGGTGCTTGGTTGAAAACTGACAATACCGACTTCAGTAGTAGTGAAGCGATTGCAATCCAACCGCCAGTGTCGGCAAGCAGATCAATAACGAAAAGATGAATTATGTTTCACGTTTTCGAATCCTAGCTTGGTTCAGCCAAGCGCCAACTCGGAGGGTCACGTGACCAGGCGGCGTCAATTCAGTTTCTCCTAAAGAATGCGTTGCTGTGTCAGGCCTTCTACACCAAATCTTCCACAAAATATTCGTGATCCATGCTATTATCAATTCACGGAGACGAGCTAATAGCTAGCCGGTTTATATAGAGGAGGGACACCGTTGCCAACGATGTTCCTACAAGTGATGGTGGAATCCACGGAAGGCTGAGTAAGATTTTTACCAAGCGCTTCTAAAGTTTCTCATTTGCAACAAACCCATCGTCCTAATAGGCGAGTTTCTATTCCGCCTTGTACCCGTCCCGCTGATGAAGCTGCTCTAATTGACATCAAAAGCGCGGCTGAATTAACGGTAGATACGCATTGCGTCTTCGATTTGCAGAGGACACTTAGCGGGTCTTTCGCAAAACGCAACCGAGGTTGAGGAAGCTTCATACCACCTGCCCGCTCTGGTTGCCATCTACAGTCACCAAACGAAGGTATAAATTTCACGTCAACGATTCCTATTCCGAGGCTTTTGTGGACCTTGGTCTAGATCTCAACCTTTTCACACCGCGATGATCATCACAATCCTTAAGATTCCTATGTCTTTCATGCTGCCGCACAAGCCTTATCCACTTATATATAAAAAATACGTGGTTTCCAGCTTCATATACGTCAACCTTACGATTCCTAGGCTTTTGTGGACCTTGGTCTAGATCTCAACCTTTTCACACCGCGATGATCATCACAATCCTTAAGATTCCTATGTCTTTCATGCTGCCGCACAAGCCTTATCCACTTATATATAAAAAATACGTGGTTTCCAGCTTCATATTTTCTTTAATGGCATGGGTGTGTGGGCATCTGAGAACCTGTATCAACCACGTGCGTGATACCACCCCTATTAATGAGCATCACTGCTCTTCCCATTCCACAAAACCTCGTAGCTGACCGACACTGCGCACAGTCTGTGTAGACACTTTGATTAACTAGCTGAAGGGCAATGAAGCCGTGGCACAAAACATTCAGCGACGGACAATAGAGACACTTCCATCTTATCACCACCTCTTTTTACCCGAATCGCTGCCATCGCCTGATCTTCCTTGTCTCTGTCGTTAGCCCGTAGTTACGTCAGGCGTCTTCCATGGCAGCTTTACCGACGTTTTCGCCATCGGCACAACACCAGTCGCCCTGAAAAGAAACTCAGCACACCGGAATATATTGTAAGGCGACCAACATTTTCTCGGTCAACTGTGATCTCCTCCGGAAGGGGCTTTTGGCGTCGACAGTGTATGTCAGGAAAGGTCCCGTCTACTAATTAACCCTGGACTGGCTCTTTTCCGAAACCGTTTTTGCAAACCACTCACCACCGGCACGTCAGATACTGTGAGGCCGCTTACTCGCATTACAATTGTTCACAGTGTCATTTTTACCCGCCCATCTATATTATATCCCTTATTCGCTAATTTACCACAGAAATTTATGAAATGTTTCAGCATGCTCAAGATATGCGGCTACATCTCATACTTACTTTTCCATGCGCAACTCACGTCATTTTTATGGATGGTTTATCCTCCCGAAGCCCTAGCTTCATCGGCGCTGATTATTCGTAGCCGCCTTACTAAAGTAACCGAACATACATAAGGTGAACAGCCGTGAACCTTGAGTGAGGTTTGCCAGCAGGATATAAAATTCCTAACGCCTGCTCAAGTCTAGGCATATTTTTCGCTGTTCAACCGTTGATATGTAGTGTTCTATATTACACTCCTTTCACCCCCATTGTGACTAGTGAGAATCAGATGTTTCCTCTGATTTCAGCTATTCACCCTGGAATTTCTATATATCTCAAACCTGCTAACCTCCAATTCCTGCCCGTACATAAACATACCCTACAGGGCCTCTCGCCAAGGTTAAGTGGGTGTTTGGCTGACCTCAACAATGGAATGGCCTTGAGCTTAGGTAAACTCCGCATCTTTCAGATTTGCGGAAATGCGCGTGTTCGTGGGAGTTATTCTTGCCCTGGTTTATGGTCATGTAAACATGACCGAAATGGGTACGTCCGTATGGTATACATGAAATTTACTTTCAGGATTTGGCCCGAACCTGAGGTGCTACCAGTGCAATTCTCTGACCCAGCCACGTTGCGCTGACCACTTTGATAACCGTACAATGATCCTTACTCCATGTCCTGATGATGGACGAAATTATTCAAGATGTGTTAAAATGATTCAAGAAAGTGAGTTTATCCGTGATAATTCTAAGTGTCGCCATGATATTTTTTCATGCAACTGTTTAGACGGTGGATTCGATTAAATTAGATTATATCTAGGTCAAAGGAACCTAACAAAGGGATACTAAAAGTTACAAAACGGGATGATGCTGCCACCACGCAAATACCACAAACACTTAAAAACGCTGTTGTAATGCACGCAGGCCAACGTAAGCCTACAAGCTCATTTTGGCTCATTTTGGTATATATTTATACATTTGTTATTAAAACCCTACGCAGCCTTCCATTAACTCCCTATATGCTGCAAAAATGAAAAATCTGAAAGTTGTGGTATCAGTAACATTCTACAAAGCGTGTTTCACTTGTGAAAGAAGATGAAAGGAGCAGTAAAATTTTTTTTGACCATCACATAAGTAACTGCTGTTACTAGTGGAAGAAAAACACCACCGCATACCTCACGCTAGATCGGTGCGGTGAAGCAACACTTACACTCGTGGTTTGCTTAGCGGAATGAAACCGAGCGCGTCAGAACTCCGATTTCAAACTGCTAAACGCTGTCAAAAGTAAAAACCCAGCTTTACATCCCAACAGTCTTACGTTTTGTATGATTCCGAAGACATAACATGCAGGCTATTTGACATACTTACGAATAGAGCAGTTGGATCAAACCCCCTCATTCTAAAGTGTCACTGTTAGTAACTATCGGGTTTTTCTTATAAGCGCATGTTTACCGGACCTGCTGGCATTTGTATAAACTGGAAAGGACAGCTAGATGGCCTAGCTTACGGACCAAAACCAAAAAGTTAAGACTACTGATTTCAGACCTATCTGCTCCCATTGGTGACTTTACAAAGAGTGAGGAGAATTTTCATGTTGGCTTCATATATATATATATATATATATATTATATATATAGACTCTATATTAACAAGCATAATCCAACTATACACTACTTATAGCGCAGTATGCATGTATGTATGCACAATAAACGCGGGATTGAAGAAATAATTTACCAATGTTCGGAAAAATATCACTAAACAAATTATCCTATGGCATGTAACTAATATGACAACTTAGCGATTAAAAATCCGTGGGATATTGCCAACCGTCAGGTGAATTCAAAATGAGACCAACCAAATGCCATGTGAAAAACATAATAAGACATTTTGAGGACATAGTTGATGTCAATACGCCGTGCACGATGTTGAGAGAAAACCGGTTGAAGATATCCCGAGCATACAAATAATTGACTTTGTTGGAATTTGGAAGGCGGACAAGACAGACGAAAGGACAAAAACAGCAAATGAAAAGTACCAAGGAAGTCATGAAACATTTTTTCCCTCCGATGTTATATACTTAGAGCTTTTGGGTTTATGTGTGGAAAACAGGTAAGAAAGACCGCTAAGTGAAACCATATATGCAACATAGTATATATGCTTTTTATTTCCCCATTTGTATGTATCAGGACAAATGTTCCAAATGTTTTATATAGAGGAGAAAATTGGTAGCATAGGTCGCTTAGATGGTCATTGGCTTGTTCGCTAAGCCGGGCAATTTGATTGCAAACTCTTAACCACTAACCCAGATGATAACGTACATGTGTTGTTATGGAGCGTAGTGGTGCGTAGCGATGATTTGATGGTGTGTGCAACACCACTGAACGCACATTCAAAACACTAGTCAACGCAGAACCACCAACCCATCGCCACGCACCACTATACACTCTAACAGTGCACTGATGACATCACATCGATTGGTGATGGAATTTCTCGTGTTTTTTACAACAGTTGGTACACTAGCTATCCATTATCCTCTAGTACTTTTTGCCAGAGGCTGCCTCAAGAGACAAAAGTGGCCAAACTGAATCAATCATTCAAACAACCACTGACCTCATCATGCTGTTAATTAAACCGTATTAAACGGGTGACGAAACCCATCTGATACTTTCAGATTGTTAGCATGCAATCCAAAAAAACAAAAAAGAACAACACTGGAAGGTTCCCGAAGAAGATGCAATGCCATTGTGATTAATTTAACAACTCAAACTTTAAACCCTTGGGTTGATGCTCTACGTTTTAAAAGTCTACGCAAAAGTCGCCTAAATATAATAAATTCCACACATGCTAAGAGCAGTTTGGAGCAAGTGGATGCTGCAAAACGCCTGAGGAAAGAAACTTCTACTGGCTTCTTGGCATGAGAAAATTATACTTTGTTGGGGAAGCTGTCACAACGGTGCAGGTTACTCTAAATACCAAAGTGTACAGACAAACAGTGGCCTTAATAATGATGTTTGCAGTGTTTTTCGCGTGAGTAAAAGGTGTACTTTTAGTTTTGTCGGAGGAAAGCAAACAAGCGGAATGTGTGCGTAAAGCAAAAAGGTGATTCACAGTGATAATGAATGGCGTATTTCAAATAGTATAAGTTTCTTTATGCAATAATTGACGTTGAATACGATATAAATAAACACCGATTGATCTGCGTTGTGTACAGTACTGATTGGTTTACCAATTAGGGGGACAACAAAACTGAGCTGAATGAATTTTCCATGCTCATCCTTGTGGTAACCTTTGAATCCTTTATCGAGTGAAAAAGTATCAACATCGCAGCGACAAAAATGTCACTCAAGAAAACCTAACGTTTTTAGTACTGCTTTGGGTATTTAAGCTTGTCTACAAAAGCCATGTTTTCTTGCTCTCGTTATTTTACTGTTGATAATTTTTCTCCACATGAATGGCAGCTTTAGATCATTAATTTGGTCAACACGTTCCTATTAAGCACGATCGGCTTTAACATAACAAAGACTCTGTATAAGCAGAGTCTGTATCTGAGATGTGCAGTAAATGAACCATGAAATCGAAGGGGTTTGCGAAACCTGCAAGCAATTGAGTACGCAGTGCCAAAAAATGTAAATTGCTTTCGCGATTCCCCCCAAAATATCACTTAGCTCCAGAAGTTAGAAGTGAACGAGTTACATTCGGCTTCACGAAATATGACAACATGAGAAAACGGAAATTCGCCGTGGTTACCTACCCTTACACCCAGAGATTTAATATGCAAGAAGTCAAACGGTTTATGTTGTCTTGGCACACACAAACCAGAGCAAACGAAGACTTATGCTTCTTCCATGAACAATGCTGTTTGACATTGAAAACAATAGCATTGCAATTTTGTTTCTTCAGCTTCAGCCCAAGGTGCGCCTCCAAACTTAAACGCGGACCACTTGAACCGCGCATTGTACGCTGACTTCTAAAATGCTGGCACTAATTGCTGATGCTCTAGAGCTTTTGTTGTGTCGTTATAATTCTAATCTCTCTGATGCTATCAAAATATTTAGGAAACCTAATTTCGTTCTAAAAATGTTCTGCCTTCCCACAAATACGACGTACTCCTGGCAACAACTACAATGGTCGTAAAACGTTCGCAAATACTTTCTCAAACTCGGTGAAGAACAAAGACAACGTTTATTTCTAAACCATAACAAACTTTATAACAGACCCGGAAAGTATGAAATTTGAGGTACTTATAATGCTAGCTATAATAGTTAAATCAGGTCTGACACATAGTGCTGCTATATTCTACTAGTAATTGGAAATGTTTGCGGTCATAGAAATAATGAGCACAAATACGTATTGCGCCTTCAAGTTTTTGTCGTTCTTTCGATTATCTATTTGACAACCAAATTTATTATTACTTTATTCAGTGTACTTGGATGGAAAATGGACTCGCCGTTACTATCGTGATTGTGCAGTCACTGGTGTCATCGGACTCGAAGATGGTCGGTGGTGTCTAGACCGAAAAGGGGTATATCGAGTGAAAGTTCGGTACTGCAACTGCAACAATAAGAATGGGTGTAATGGGACTAAACGCTATGCTCCACATAATTCCTTCTTTTTGATTATGTGTGTGATTTCTTGTCTATTAGTTGATGTGCTCATGAGAATTTGGGTAGATGTTGATGAAAAAACGTGAAATATCTAATTATCTCGTGACATAAATGAGAAGTTCTCACTATGATGTGTAAAAATGGTCGGCTGTTTAATCTGCACAATACTCGGTGAAAAGTGTTTCAGAAATTGCCCTTGAAATCTACTTTCATTTAATTAATGCTCCATAAAACTTACCCACATTTGAATGGACTGTTTTATGGCATTCTTTGTTTTCTTTAAAACCTTTATAATTTCCCGAGAACGTGTGGTTTCATGTCAAATTTTACTCAGATTAAGTGTGTTCAATAATAAGTCCACTAATAAATAATAATTTTGATCACTGTTTACTTTTTATTTTTGCGACAAAAAACCACATTTATTTGGTTTTGTTTTTGGAAACCATAGAGCGCAACTGTTCTTGAGTGATGCCGTTTAAATGCAGAGGTAATACCAATAGGTTGACACGGATAATTAATTTGTCTTTAGACAGACTGTGGTGTTATACCTCGTTCTGGTGCAAGCTGGATATACCAAGTCTAGGCCGGTTGCGACTAGACAGTTTGGTCTTCAAAAAATAATGAGGAAGTTTGAATTTTGAATAGCTCTGAAGATTTTTAAGGTGCACATTGCCGATCATTTACGGAAAGAGTAAACAGCTATGAAGCCCTTTTCAGCTTGTCGGAGAAGTTCAAAGGCACTAAGAGAATGAAATGTCTGTTAGAAGTCCTAAAGCTTTCAACACTGTAAAAAACAACTTTGGCTGATTTCCGTAGAAAGGAAACCTAGGATTCAGCGACTGTAACAAGTGGCGTAAAGCGTTTGCACCCAAATGGGCTTACACGGTGGCGGACGTTCATTAAGTCTGAAAAGAACATGGCTTTGTACATCTCAAAAAAGAGTCGCAGCAAGATACCGAAATCATTACGAACTTCAATCTAAGGTGGACTTAGTGGGGCACAAGAAGAATCTATGAGTTGCATGCTAACACAGTATCGTGTTTGGAAAGTGGAATGTATTTGATCTTAATATATATTATACTAAGAAGCCAGTGTCATTGGCATACCACGGTAGCAAGTATTTCTAGATATCAGCTTGAAACTCTTTGGAAAAAGAACGGCGGTCAATTTTTGGGTATAAAAGTGGAAACAATTAAGTTTATACCAGATACGAAGGGGGAATTCTGTGGCTCAAATTTGAGTTGTACTTCATCAAGGCTGAATGTTTTACTCTCCTCCAGAATGAAAAACCAAATAGTAAGGCGGTGCAAACGAAAAATGCGTTTGTCTTCTATTTATGACAGTTAACGAAAATACGCGAAAAAAAGCAGCAACCTACAGAAATCCGTCAAACTAGTGCTTTCTTCGGCTAGTTGTAAACTTGTAGCACATGTACTATGTTCATCACTCCAACTCTGGCAATTACCGGCTAGAATCATTCATAATTTAGATTCAGGTAGCTTTTTGTCAGGCTTTTTGCAACAAGATATTTTTGTTTAACAATATGATATTAAAAATATGGTACTGTCAAGAAAAAGGGAACGGTGAAATCAAAATACAGAATAAAATAAGTTTACTTGCCGCGTTGGAAAGAATTTTATGGCAGCCAAATTTATCTCTTTCTTCTTCATATAAAAGTTGTTCAAATGAGTTCCTATAAATCCTTGGTGTACTCACTAAAATATCAGTAATCCAACTTGGTTGTTGATTATCCTGTTCATGGTTTTTACGGTCATTGTTGCTTGATATGGCTTATTTTTAAACCCTCCTACCCAGCGGGAAAACTCTAATAAAATGTGACTTTGCTTCATGACAAACGCAAGAGTTTTTATAAACCAGTGCTATGTGATCAAATTATTGGAAAATCATTACCCAAAGTTTAACCGATATTATTGTGTTTAACTAATTAATTAAGAAGTGGAAAGAAAATCTATTTTGAGTTCCTATAATACAGAAGGACTTTTGTTACTTACATATACTGTGGAATGTTATTCATCCGTAGTTAGATCCCTATAGTTTGGCTAATTATTTACTGATTTTGTTTTGTACAGTCTTATTATTAATAACTCCATGATCAGGTACTTGTTATATTCCGTTGCATCACACGGATTTGTGGCGCGACATATCTCAGGTGCAGTTCATACATATTTTGGGACGCTTCCATCGAATATGTGATATAACTTTTATTTCAGAAAAACTTTAAACACGGATTCACTTTGTCACTGCGTGTCAAGTGAATTCAAGTTATGCGCTGCTATACCACGCTTTTTTTGTTATAGCAAACAACCGTATCACTTATCTTGAATAAAAATACAATCATCTGTATTGTCACCAATTTTAACTTAGTTGTTTAATTTAACAACTATCTGTAAGGATCACTAAAAGCCACATACGAATGCTTGTTAACCAGAGTGTTATACATCACTCAGTAACGAAGGTCCTTGCTGTAGGTTTTTAAGCTCAGCTAAAATTTGCTAAAGTCAGTATTGTACAACACCAAAAAGCTTATTCGTCTTCTTTGGAACTACAACAGCTTGTTGCCGCAGTTTGCCTTTGCCACCACTAATGTTGTAGATGGTGGCATGGAAAACCCATAACTTTATGGAGTAAGACGCTCAGTGGCGCGTAGAGCCAATTTGGCACTCTGTAAATCAACCATCAAAATTAACGGAAATGGTGTACTACACACAGGCCACCGCCAGAACGACTGTTTTGGAAAATTTAACACCTGTGAAGCAGATACGGGATTCATCCACATTCAAATTCCCTGATTAAACAGCATTGCAACAGTCCAGCATGAGCATCAGGGTTACCTCAGTGCTGGTAGATATACAGTATAGTTATTTAGCGGGTTGCCACAGCTTTTGGTGCACCGTCAGTACACGGTAGTTTATGCTGTAAAATTGACAAAATCTAAAGCTCAGTCCACCGCAATAGTCGTAATCATTACTTTTGACCGCACAACAAAAATGTTTATCGCTGGTGCTTTGCGGTTGCGCTGATGAGCAATTTACTGGTCGTGGTTGTTAAGGTGGTGGCGTTGAGCAAATCAGTCTTTTAAACAGCACCATAGGTCTCAAAGTCCTAACCTTAGACTATCAGTAATGCGCAAGTAAACTGAGCATGATCATATGTGCACCTTTTAGGCAGAAAATGGTGATTGGTACGTTTTCCTGATTGCTATCTTTTGGTTAGCAAGGTGTAGTGAACGAGAGCTCAAGAGGTGTGGTCTGTTTTGCGTAACTAATGCAACTGACGACTGGATTAAACAACTTGATTATTTGTCAGAATTTGGTGTCTCAATCTCAGTGAAACTAGCCAGTATTATCCGCACTGCCTCAAGAAAATTCTGCTTTTAATGAACGGAGCTATTCTGTTCGGTGACTCAGACCGCTTTTTTATGTACTAAAATCTTAGTTTTCAGCTGTTAGTTACAAAAACTTGAAGAATAAGTTATTTAAGAATTCAGATATTTTCTATAGAGGAGAATGTCGGTGATATTATTAAGAGTGATCAAACTAATTAAAATACTTTCAAAGGAAAACGCTAAACATATAGGGTCTTGTTTCATTGTTGCCTTTCCGTTACTTCTGTTCTGTGCCCCAAGGTTAACAACTATGTCCTTTGATCTCGGCCCGGCAGCGGCTTCAATGTTTGGAACAAATTCTTATAATGTCAGCAGTTTCTCTATATTTTGATACGTCCTTATCCTATGCTCAAAAATTTCAAACCTCAGTAAAATGGCACACACGGGACAAAGTATTACACTAAGTTTATTGTTGGCCATAGTGCCGCCAGTAACTGTAGGTACAGGGTAGTTTCTGAGCAGATGAGCAAACAAAAACAAATTTGCTTTATGCTTGTTCGACGAAGGAATTAGAAGTAAAGCGGGATAAAAACGAATTTTTGCAGTCCAAAGATCTCTACATAAGGTGCGGCATTTGGTCGCTGCCGTTTAAAAAACCTGAGGAAAAAGCAAATGACATCTCACTGTGTCACTGCAATTAGTTACAGCATAGCACACTTTCTGCAAATATTCATCCAAAGGCATAAAAGCATCAAAAATGATCAAATCGTGTCCTGTAAGAAATACCGGAATTATTTTACCCACTTACTCACCGACATATTGCTAAAATTTAATATAAAATTGCTTGATGTCCACAGCACGCGACCATAATGCAATATGCGCATGACGGTTGAGAAACACGAATAATCCCGCTTAATACTTCCGTACGGTTTAGCTTTAAATAACCGAAATAGTCGTAGAATACAATCACAATAGAAGTCCACACACAAGAAATAATTTAAATGCATGTAAGGGAGTTTGAGAACACTGTTTGGACTGGGTGTCGCGGGTGTTGTTTCCGCCCCTCCTGCAATTTACCGACGATAAATTCAAAAAGTAATTTGCCCAGAAGCAGCAACAAGACACGCCCAGGCAGTTCAATCATGTCATTATTGTGTGTCTAACTCAATAATCCAAAATGCGTGATACTTCTCCATTCTAGTAGTTAGATAGTTGTTCATCTTTTACTTATTAACTGCTGGCTTGGATGGAGGCATTTAAATCTGTATGTACGGTGAACTTATTCGCATTTTTTTAATTGCGAAGTATCGTAGAGCTACGTAAATTCGTCCACTCCGTAACATCCCATATGTTGACAAATCCTTTTATCCTCCAAGACCTGCCTTGCGACATAGTAGCTGGTAAAATTTAGTCAAAATAAGACTGTTCATGTCTTATTTACTATTACCCTAAACTCAATTTACGTTGTTTTTTAGGACTTGATTTGCCTGCAGCTGATTATTTAACGATATTTCAAGCCTATCACTCAAGATGCAATTTATTTTGGAAGTAGCTTACAGCTACATTGAAGACGTGAATGGACTGATAAGACAATTTTGTGCCGCATTATGCGGTTGACGGCGCGTATTTAGAAAAATTAAGGGAGTTCATTTTACCGTATTGATGATCTATCGATATAGCTTGCTCTTGCTTCAGGTGGTACGATGTGTTTAGAAGCTGATGTCCTATTTTTCGCCGTTTCTGGTTATCCTGGAACACATCGGGAGACCCTCTGTATCTGGCGGCACTGGGTTAGAGGGTACAAGTCTATGTCAATAACCTGGTCATGTAGTTTAGCAGTGTAGTTTCATCTGCTCTTGTTTTATTAAAAAATATGGGCTCATGAATTATGTGCACATCATATTGCTCAAATATTTGAGCTATCCGGCAGCCGCTTGGACCGCAACAGGTTTAAAAACACTGGATTTTATGGGAATATTCGTCAACAGAACTTTAATAAAATGCCTCCCAAATGCA